CGCAAAGGACTCAGAATGGCTTACATAAATAAAATAATATAAAACATAATACAAATGAATTACAGATCCACCCTGGCTGCAGTTAAAAACATATATAAACCAATATTAAAAGTTATTAAAATATTGTTGGAATAAAATGGTCTTAACCTGGTGCTGAAAAACAAATAATGATGGCACCAGGCGGATACATTTATTTATACATCTATACATGTATTTATGTATCTATTTATTTCTGCAATATTTACTTGTGCCACTGAAATGCTCTGGGTGTGCTCATGGGAAGCCTTACCTGAGCAACGTCCTGGAGGAAACTGCTGTCAAAATTGGCAGGTACCACCTTGGAGAGTGACACAGGTAGGGTCCACACCTGCATGCGGGCGAGCGCACACGCCTGCCTTTTCAAGAGGAGCTGCAAACGAACCCAGAAGAGAGCTCCTCCCTGGGACCTTCCTGGGCCAGTGCCCAGGGCTGGCACCTGCTGCGCTCAGGCAGCCCCCCCCCCCCCCCCCCCGCCCCCCCCCCCCCCCCCCCCCCCCCCCCCCCTCCCCCTTTTGCACTTCATGGAACTGTGGAGAGCTGCAGCTGTGCAAAGCTGCTAAAAGTGTTCTTTAATTGCACACATTGTGGCAGTGGGTTTTTTGCGCAGATTGCCAGCCATTGATAATCCCCCTGATGTGCCTGTTGGGAACTTGAAGGAGAAGGTCATGGCTGTGAAAACAGAGATGGTGAGAACTGGCTGTCAGAAGGAAGGATGCAATCGTGGGTGGGGGGAGGCAGTAGGGGGAGGCAAGGGAGGGAAAGGACTTGGGACTTGTGATCCCAGTGGAGGAAATCCAGCCAGCCATGGTTTCTCCGAAGTGCCGGCTGGGCCCCTGTGAGGTGGCTGGCACTGGGGGCAGCTCTCACCAAGCAGCTTGCTCAGGCTTCCTTTCCGCCACGATGGGGCAGCCATCCAGGCTTAGCCAACAGTCCAACCCATGAGGGGAAATAACCCCTGAAACAGCATGCATTGTCCAAGCGTTTGCTGCCCGCAAAACCGTCCAGGGTTCCACGGCACGGCAGCTGAATGTGGCTTACAAGCCATGGCGGGCATTGTGACTTCTGGGCCCAGGCAGAGACGGGCAGCGACTGTCCCCTTGCACCGGGGGGGTGTGCATCCAAAGCAGCAGCCCCACCACCGAACTGCACTCCATCCCTGTGGCTTTGCAGCAAGGTTTGTTTTTACCATTTGTGCAGCTGCCGTTGGCAGCGGCTTCTCTGCAATTTAGATGCTAGTGGCAAATTGTAACCTTTGACAGAAGCTGCTGTGATTTATTACAAAAATCAATAGGTGATTCAAGGAGTTTGGTGCTCAGCAAGGCAAATAACCTGGCACATGGTGGCTTTATTGTTATTCATGGAAAGGTTGCACTCATTACCCGAGCGGGGAGCAGCCAGCCAAGACAGATTGCCATGTCTGCACCAGAGAATGTAATTAAGCGGTTGCCCTGGATGGCTCTGCGAAGGGGAACTTTGGGGTGGGCAGAGCGGCCAGCAGCTCCTGCTGACCTGCCTGCAGGAGGTGCAAGCAGGTTGGCGGGGTGCTTTCACGGGGCTGCCCTGCAGGTTCGCCCAAGTCCTGTGCGTGGCCCCTCTGTTCGAGGGAAGACAGCCCAGACAGTGGCAGGACAGGCCACTGTGCTCCGTGATGGAGGCGATGCTTTGAGCGCGGGGTGAGGTGCTGGCTGCGGGCAGGTGGCCCTCTTGGCCGTAGCATGGCTCCCACCAGCAGGACCGCCAGGCCTGCTTCAGGCAGCCTCAGGTCGCCATGGCACAGCACCAAGGTGTTCATCAGCCCATCATGAGCCACACTGGGAAAAGCTTCCGGCACTCGCCCGGCACTGGACAGAGCGGCTTTAACTTGCTGGCTTTCCTGAGAGAGGCGCGCTTGCTGCTTGGGCGGTCCCACCCATGCTTACTCAGGAGTTCACTGGACTGCAGGGGCTTGCTCCCAAGGAACGGCACGATTCCAGCTCACCTCCAGGCAGACCTTGTCCCCCCTCTCCCCAGCTCCATCGCTTCCCGGCTTGGCACATGCAGTGGTAAACGTGCCCATGGCTCAGGTCAGGAAGGCCCTTCATCCCGTGCCTCAGCGGGCTTGCTTGCCCAGGCTTGCACAGCGCTTCTGCGGAGGCCAGGGCTGCTCTCAAAACATGCTAGCCTTACTGGGGACCACCTGTTCCATCTCTCAAGGGCGCCCTGTGTGGAGCCCAGAGATGGGGAAGGAGTCCTGTAGCTGCCCCCCCCCCACATCTTTTGGTGCTGGGGAACTCCAACCCTTCCCTTTTTGCAGCTCTCCAACCAGAGCTGCTTCTCTGCAGCAGCAAGTGGCCATGGAAGAGAGCCGCGGCCACCGGCCAGGCCCAGGAACACTCGCAGGTGTCCATCCGCTCGTCATCCGCCACACCAGCAAAGTCGGCCACCCACAGATCCTTCAGCATGCGAAGCACATCTCCCGACAGTGGCGCCTCTCTGCAGAGGTGAGGAGCACCTAGAGGCACACTGGGCGATGGAGAAGGGCAATTCGCAGAGGCCGGTGCAGGAGCAGTTCAGCTAGCCAGGTGCCCCATTGCTGACCTTGAGGGTAGCAGTTCTCAAACAGGAGTTCGCAAAGGAAACTCCGCAGTCATCAAGAAGTCCAGTTGTGCCCCTGGCTTAAAGTAGTGGGTCATTGCCGAACCACATCTGTGAATGAGCTTGCTAATGTCGGATGCTTGCAGTTATCAGCCATCGCCACTGCTGTGCGTGTGGTTACTGCAATTACTTTCCAGATCTCTGCGCTTTAACACAATGATTACCGTTAGTTTTCCTTACATTTCATTTTGCTCTGGCCCCACTGCAAACCTTTTCTCCCGCCCCATCATTCACCAGTTCAGGTAGGGTTCCGTGCCTGAATGTTTCCGCCACCAGCATCTGTCAGGGGACAGTCCTTCGGCTCCGACATCATATGGAGGGATCCCGGGGCAGAGAGGTGCCACAGCCTCCCGGTCCCAGCTGCACTCTTGTCCTCAAAGTGCCACTAGAGCCTTGGGCAGGGGCACATACAGGAGGCGTTTTGCGAGCATTGAAATGCCTGACCCACTTGTGGGTCCCATGGCAGTCTCCACAGCCCTCCTTGCAGCATTCCTGCCACAGTATCTGGAACTTCTTCACTTTTCTGTGCATGTTGCATTTTCCTCTGGTATGCATTTCAGTGTATGCTGAACTTGCCCCCCCCACACACACACGTACGTACATCTTGCATTTCTCTGATCTGGATAATCAGTGGATTGGCTAACATCCATTTGTTTTTCCTTAAAAATTTGTAAAACAGGGATGCAAAAAGCCATCTCTAGTGTTCCGCCGAATGCCTGCCACCTGTGGGTTCCTCTGCCAATAGTGCTGCTCATAAGACAGCCCCTTCCTTGTGGCTAATCAGGGGCTGGGAGGGAAGGGGCTGCCTTACCAGCACACATGAAGGGAATCCCAGGGGCCAGCATGTGCGCAGGGACCCTGCCCAGGTGTGCCGCCCCCCAGTGGCCCCATGCAGAGGAGGCAAAGCCAGTCACCTTGCTTGCTTGTGCACTCCCCGAGAGACAGCAGAGAGGCCCGGGGCAAGGTCCTGGTTCCCTGGATATGCCTGGTTTCCATCCTGTGCAGCAGGGAGTCTCCTGAACAGGTGTGCACAGGAGCATCTTCAGTAATACCCATGTCCAGACTGCTGCTTCTTGGCTTACCTTTTGCTCTGTCCTCTGTCCAGATAACTGGCGAGTGAAACAGGTTTGCCAGTACCTGTTGCAAAGAGTTCCATGTGGCAACATGGGCTGGTGAATGGTGAAGAAGTCTGGAAGGAACTCAAATGAGTGTGCAGATTCTTTTTTCCAATTCCATGGAAATTTTGATTTCTGTGGATCCGGTGGGCCTGCAGAGGTTATTTTTACTTTTATGCAATTTCATGCAAATTGGAAATGAGTAGAAAAGTATTTTAGATTTTAAAAAACACTGAGCAAAAAAGCACATTTTCCTTATATGAGAATACATGTTTTTCAGGGATCCATGCGTTATTGGAGTGCCAAGTTGCACAACTCTCAATTTGTGCAAAGGAATACAAACGCAGTTTCACAAAACCCATTTCCATCACGAATTGTTGAAGGAACAAATGTGCCTGACAATCTGCAAAGCCCCCCAGGAATACTGCCCACCCATCCCGTGCGCACCCGCAGCAGCACCGAGAAAGCGTCTCCATTGAGAATGGACTGGAAGTTTTTTATTTCATGTGAGGGATGGGGTACAAGGAGGAGTGGCAGAGTCACAATCCTGAACGCGAGAAAGAGGGAGTGCCTGAAGTACCCGTAACAGCAGAAATCTGTGCTTTATTCACAGGACACAAATACCTAACTGGACAACATGTTCTCGGAGAGCTCATGAGCGGCAGGGCTGCCTGGCCAGGGTCACGGGGTCCCCGCCAGGAAGGGCCCCACCAGTTCCAGCGCAAAACTTGCACCTCTGCGTGGGAGCGAGCCCCATCGCTCCTAAGTGGGAGCAGTGGGATGGAGAGGGATTGAGGAAGACAGCTGAGGTCCGGGTGCTTTGTCCAGGGACTGCTTGGAAAGGCATCCAGTGGGAAAGCCTGGAGACAGCAGGTGCCGAAGTGCCTGGACAGTGATATTTATATACTGCATTTATATAGACCGTATCATCGTTATTAAAAATAAAATCCATCCTTGGGCATCATGTACCCTGATTGCACCACTGCAAAGGGCCCCCTCCAAGCTGACCCCGCCCCGCCCCAAGGGGCAAAGACGATGGGCTCTGGAGGCTGCCACCGCGCAGCGCTGGGGGCATTCGGCCATGCTGGCCACAGGTAGGGCCCACCAGCAGCCGAGGAAGCCCAGAGGGAGCGGGGAGGGGATGACCTCTGACGGCTGCTCCCTGGAAGACAGAGGCAGGCATGCCTGGCCTCCACGTGGCCCGCGAAGCACTCACTCCCACCTGAAGTCCTGCCCGACGGTCTCGTAGAAGCGGGTGTTGTAGGGCCGGTAGAAGTCCTGCAGCTGCTCTATGACTCCTGGGTCGATCTGGACGTGAGTCCTCCCTTTGGATTTCCCCAGGCATCGCGGCAAGCTGCCCCCCGCCCGCTTCCTCAGGCAGGGGAACCCCTTGGTCTTGTTGAAGTAGAAGTGCTTCTCTGTGATGGCCCGCTTGAGGCCCAGGAAGTCCTGCACCTTGGCCATCTCCCCGGCGGGGTCCGTGATGAGCCGCTCCCCACTGACGAAGTGGATCTGGGAGAGCGGGAAGAAGCGGAGCCAGCTCTCCAGGTGCAGCACGTACAGGCCGATGCGGATGGCGCTCCAGGAGGTGTCCACCAGGCCCAGGCTGCGGTTGCGGAAGGACAGGCCCTCGAAGGTAGGGATGTTGGGCTTCTTCGAGACCATCTGGGTGTAGTCTGAGATGGCCCTGGTGACCGGGTTCCTCACCACCACGATCAGTTTGGTGTCCTGTGACATGTTGAAGATCCGCTGGGGGGCTTCCCTGGTGACGAAGTAGCTGGGGGTTTTCTCCATGGTGAGCTGACTCTCCGAGGTCCGGGGCATCAGGTGCCTGCAAGCAGAGCCGTGTGGGGAGGTGAGCAGCCAAGCACAGGCAGGCAGCTGCTCCCCTGCCCGGGGCCCTGCCCAGCTGCCAGACCAGCGCCTTGTCCCCCGCTGTGCTCCAAGACCAATAAGGTCTTCGCTGGGAGTGGGAAGAGGAAGCCGTCATGGTGCAACGCGACCTGGACATTTTGAGAAGCCCCTGGCCTCCTCTGGCCCAGTCCTGACCTGAAGATGAGCGCTGTCTTATGGGGCAGACGGCAGGCAGGTGTTTGGCATCGGGAGTCCTATTGCTGCTGGCATTATTAAAGGCTCGCATGCATTCCTAGAAGGGCCCTGAAGGGAAGACTCGGCCCCTGGGGCTCCGCAGCTGCCGCAGTGCTCTCCCGGGAGGGACCCAGTCAGTGGTGGCTGCCTCGCTTGACTCAGGGACGCAAGACCATCCCCCAGAGGGGCTGGCCTCAGAAGCAGCTCTTGCGGCCCCCACCGCAGCCCAGTGCCCCCTCCGTGGCCTCGTTGCACCCACAGCACAGCAGGGCAGTTCTTTGCCCGCCTGCCTCTGCGGGGTGTGTAAGATGAAGCCAGGCAGCAGCCAGCACGCCTTGCGGAGCACCAGCAATCCTGGGCAGTCCTGGGCTTTGGACAGGGAAACTGCTGTGCCCAGCTTGGCACGCAGCAGGGGCGCCACTTCTGCATACTCCAGAGCCAGAGCTGTGCGAGCCCACCCTGAAAAGAGCAGCTCCTCTCCCGAGAAGCCGCCCCACGCCTCTGCCAGCCCTGCTTGGGATCTCTGGCCCTTGCCTGCCTGCCCTTCGGGACGGTGGGTCAGTGCTGTCGGGCAGTTGTGCTGAGGGGCATGTGTGATGAAGGTTCTCTTAACAAAACCGTCCAGGCGGCATCGCACGTTTGGAGGGCTGGCCAAAGCTCTTGGCCAGAGGCTGGAAAATGGCGGCTCCTCGCCCCCAGTCTGCGGTGCTTTTGGTCGCACCTTTAGCTTAGCCTGACACCCCCAGTCCAGAACCTCCTGTTTGTCCTTAATGGTTTTTTTTCTTGGTAGGAAAGGAGATGGGAGCAGGAGCTGAAAATCGGGTGAGGGCAGCAAGCGGAAGGCAGTGACCTCACACCCTCCACTCCGCAGAATCCCACGAGTGCAGGAGGAACGCTTTGCCTGCACGCACCTCGCATCCACGGGCACCAGAAAGTCCGGGCTCTTCTCAGGAAGGGGGCAGCAGCCTCTGGGGCAGGGCAACCCAGAGCCCCCCCAATCACTTGGCTTGTGAACTGATGGCAAAACCTCCGTGGCCAAATCTCACCTGGAAACAAGCCAGATTCTGGCACTGTTAGGGTCTCTGACAATTTAGCTACACGTGTAATTTCCAGGAACACATTATTTATTTAGTTTTATTAATACTTCCACCTATAGGCCACCTACCCCCAAAGTCTCAAGGCAGCTTTACAAACCCAGTGCCCTCGCCATTATTGCAACAGACTCAAAGGCACGGATGGTGAAAGAAGACATGCCTGGAGCTGGGTTAACAGTCTCCCTGGAGCAGGGCACGTGCTGGCGTCCATGTCCCTGGGCACCTGCGACCAGCCGCTCCCTGGAGCCGCAGCATCCAGCCAGGGCTGCACCTGGGCCTCCTTCCTGGCAGCCAGGGCCTTCTCCTGCCCACAGGACCTGATCTGGCGTGCCTGGCACAGACGGTTTAATTTTGCAGGCGCAGAATCAGTCCAGCAGCCTCGGGTCTTCCCTCTGGTTCTTGCACATGCGAGTGATTAGAGGAATCTGACCAGACTTGGCAAGTGTCACTCGATTTCTTTTTACCTACACTCCGCTTGGCATTTTGCTGCCTGGGAGACTGCGGCACTTGCGGGAGCACAAAGCCACGGAGGGACAAATGGTGGTGGGAGGAGGAGGTGAGAGGAGTGGGGCCCGGCTGGCCTTCTGTGAAGCGCCGGATCCTGCCCAGTCTGGGAAGCTAAGCAGGGTAAGGCCTGGCTGTGAGCCGCCCAGAGGGCTTTGGCTACAGACGCTACGGAAATGTGGCAGTGATGATGATGATGTTGGCGATGACGTCGAGGTCTTCCCTTGTGGGTGAATTTCTTTCCTTCCCTGCATGTAGACACATCATCTCATGCATAAATGCTCAAGGAATGAAGCCACCCCCGCAACGCTTCTCCTGAGAAAAGATGCAGAGGAAACAGGCTTGCGATGTGGCTGCCGCTTCACACGACCCCAGTCTGGTCAGGCACGGCCCTGACAGGGGAGGAAGCGCCCTGCCCTCAGAGGAAGGCGCGCCGCTGCCAGCTGGACTGCCACCCGCCCCGTCACATGAGCTGCGCTCCGGGAGCCGTGCCAGGCAGGGGTGCCAGAGCAGCCCAGCGCAGACTGCAGGGCTGAATCCAGGATCGCCTGGCGGCGGCGGGGAGTGGCCACGCAGACCCTGGGCGGGAGACATGGCAGCAGGACGACCCCGTGGTGGGCGCCCAGTCTGCGGAGGGGCCCGCGCGGAGGGTCCAGGCAGCGGGAGAGGTCGTGCCTTGCGGCAAGGGGGCAAAGGACTTCAGCACTTAGCGATACTGGGCGGTACATAAGGCTGGTGAGTCCTTGACGGGGCAACCCGCATCCCACCATCGTCCTCTGCTCCCTTCAAGGCAGCAAAGCTCAAAAGGAAGGAAGCAACCCACAACCCCAGACTGGTTGTGTGCTCTGCCGTCACCTCGCTCAAGATCTCCTTGTTCCTGGAAGTGCTTCAAGCCCAGCAGGCGCCAGAAACCGCTCAGAGGTTCCAGCAGCTCTTGGCTAAAGCTCTTAAGTTAAAACAAGCCACATTATGCAAATATTCCTACAAGATCTCAAAAACCTTATTTGGAGTGCAAATATTGCAATATCCATTTTCCACATGAAGGAATTTAGGTTGCCTAGGAAACTCTGGAACTGGGAGTGGAAGCAAAGGGTTTTTCCAGCCTGGGCGGAACGTTGTCTGAAAGATCTGAAGCAGATGCTCAGCCTCAGGCTCCCCAGCCTTCCTGGGTTCAGGGGTGGGCTCCAGATTCGAACAGGAGGAGAACAGCACATTTCTGGAGGATTGCGGTTGTGTCCTGACCTGTGCCTCGGCAGCCACGCGGAGACAACAGGCGTGCAGTGCTTAAACCTGGGAGGCCCCGAGCGGAGTGCCTGCCGGGCCACGGAGCACCCTAGGCATGGTCCATCATCCATGATCTGCCCTACCTCGCAGGGCTGCTGGGAGGGTTTCGGCTTCTCATCCTGAAGCCGATGAGGTGAGCGTCTCCGGCGCCCCGCACCACGGGGAGGGCCGGCGCGGGTGGCGCTCCCTCTGCTGCCAACCCCCTTCCTCCCCCGCCCTCCCGCCCTGGGAGGACGGCCCCACACGCGTGCCTGACTGCTGCCGCTGCCCCCGCGGCGACCGCACAGGGCGCCCTCGCGCCCTCCGCGGTCTGCAGATCGAGAGCAGTCGGATCGCCGCGAGTGGCGGAGCGGCTGCGCTCGGGACCCGCGTCAGTGGCGCCCTCCGCGCATCGCCCGTGTTCCGGTGGACGGAGGGCGCGGGGGAGCCTCAGGGGGCCTGAGGGGGGTCGCTTCGCTGCGCGCGCCCCCAAAGCCCCGCCCCGCCTCTCGCTCGACAGGCACCAGCTTGGCCCGAGCGCTCGCTGGGACCGCCCGCCCCGAGCGCTGCAGGGCTGGGACGCGGCCGCAGGCCCGAGGCGGGGCTGCCAGCGAGCTTTCGCCAGCCGTGCTCCCGCCGGGCTGCGTCCCGAGGCCGGAGCAGGGCCACTGCGCGCGGACGGAGCGCCGGCGCCCCCGCGGGCTCACCTGTACCACTCGAGGCCGCGGTCGTAGTGCCGGTCGAAGAAGTGGGGCTCCGTGCCGAGGGCGCGCACGGCCGGGTGGCCGCGAATGAATTCCAGCACGGCGCGCGTGCCGCCCTTCTTGACGCCCACGATGAGCGCGCGGGGGAGCCGCTGGGACGCCGCGCCGGGCCCCGCGCCCCCCGGAGTCAGCCCGGCGGCCGCGGAGGAGCCGTTGCGGCCGGCCGCGGGGGCGACGGGCGGCGCGCCGGCTGCGGGGCAGGCGCGCCACTTCTGCAGAAGTTTCTTGCGGGCGGCGGCGGCGGCGGGCAGGCAGCGGGCGGCGGCGGGCGCGTGTTCGGGCGCGGGCGCGCAG